TTTGTTTGAGGTATGAACAACTGATTAACATCATGGCACACGGGTGGTAACCCACAAACGCTTCGTTCTTCTTCTAACTCAAGTCTGAGACAGAAGAAGCTCAGCATAGTGCACAGGTTCTGTAGCATTGGTGAGGATCCTGAAATACTTTTGTTTAGATTTTCAACTCCAAATTTTGCCCTGGCAGTGCTGTAAGGCTACTCTTTCAGAATTTCAACTGCCAAGGGATTTTTGTACGTGTGCAGCAATGCACATGGGAGTCTGATCTCACTACCCAGAGACCAGGGAGAATTACCAGAAGTCCAAGTCCACGTGAAAAAATCCCAGCCCTTACCGGGGATTGAACCCGGAATCTCTAGCACTCGGGGCGGACACCATGCCTCAAGACCATGCAGCCCCCCTGGTATTTTTGTTTGAGAGCATGGAGATCAGATCCAATACTCATCTGCCCTGGCCTTTCTCAGGGATCCCCACTGTGACCTGTCTTGTTTAACCTTTTGTTGACGACGCGTTTGAAATACCAGCCCAACAGAAAGTAGCCAAAAAGATGATTTCCCTGATCGGTCGGCCTTATATAACAGAAGCCTTGATATTAGCTGGCAAGAAATTTAGTAGAACCATGTGCCAGACGTGTCTGAGAGACCTCCATGGGCCTTACTTCCCAAAATACTGGTCTTAGGACTTATTCAAGCTTCCTCCATACAAAAATTCACCCACATTTTTTTAGGTTAGTTATATTTGTTACCAAATTTTGAAAAAACTGCTTGCATAAATTATGCAAATCAGAATAGTTAACCTCAATAAATGTTGAGATTTCAGTTCAATTCATAAATATTCTGTTAGTCCATTCAATTTCCTACACGAATATATATATATAGTTTTGAATATGTTAGTTAAACGCCTTATTTTTAAAAATATTTTTGTGTATAAACTAGAGCTGTACCGAATTTTCGCTTCAGGGGCAAATAGTGGACCTATTGACTATTCTGTATTCAGCTGAAAAGTTGCGGTCGGGCCAAATATGAATAGTAGTTACCTTACACCCGCTTCTGCATACGCGGCCTTAACACTGACAACATGGAACGATTGGTTTTGTTAAAAGCTAATGCAGCTTTCCTGCATGAACCCTCTTAGCACGGACGGGCTGATTATCGGCCGGCGGATGTCTGGCCAAAAACACGGAACGGCCGATCATCGGCCCGATCGTGTTTTGCCACGAACCACTAAGAAATCTCCTATTTTGAAACACTGAAAGTGATTCATTCATATTCCCTGCTGTATTAGCTTTACACATGGCGACTTTCGAGTGTTTGGTATCGAAGTGAAAATTGTTGAATTTTTTAGATAGTGACCTGAACCGCTAAAAGTATGTCTGACTCGTATGTTTCTTCCCCTAAACTTGATGTTGATAAAACATTTGAATCAAGTGATTACTCTAATTCTGTTGATACTGATGCAGGATCTAGTTTTAGTAGTAATAGTTGAGAATCAGATGGGGACGCTGTTGTGTTCAGACCACAGCCCAACCATGGCTCTGGGTACATCTACCCAAAGATGTTGGCACTCTGGCACATCCATTTCTTGTGCTGACTGATGGTCAAAAACACATGTCACCTAAAGATCTTATTGCTGTTTCATATATATATACCTGTTTTTGACTACTGAATTGCTCACAACATTTGTAAAAAGGCCAAGGATCAATAAAAAGATTTCAAATAAAATATATTTTTGTTTTTAGTTGTATGTTTCATGCATTGAAGTTGAAAATTCACATTCTAATTTTCTATTTTTAGATATGCAAATGAGATGATTTGCATATACACCAATTAATTTTAACGATATTGTAAAAATCATGAACTTAATTTATATCCTTCAAATAGATATGTTATTTCATGGGGGTCAGAATAATAGAAATGTGTCAAAAAAATTAAATAAAGTAATAACCAAATTTGCTGAAAAAATGCTCCGTGTTTTTGGCTAGACCTCTGAAAAACTTCCCGTGCTAAAAGGGTTAACTAAGCTGTCAGTGACAATTTCCAAGTATAATTACTTGTTATAATACTTAGGATTCTTTCATTCCTAGTTATTAGTTACCACAGACTGACTGAAGGATGCAAAAACATAAAATGTTTTTAAATGTTTACTATTCTCTACGAATACTAACTAGACTTGGAAAGAATATAAACTCCAGCCACATCCAAGTCGATAATATGAAAATCAAACAAACGGAAACATATAAGTACTTGGGTGCAAACTTCAACTGCTCCAACATGCTGAGAGAAGAAATACAATCTAGAATACAACCTAGAATACAATCTAGAAATAAAGTATACTATGCCCTTCAACATCTGCTAAAGTCAAAGTGTCTGTCTCGTGTCTGTCTCGCAACACCAAGATCAAAATAAATAAAACGATAAGACCAGTCGTTTTATTTGGCTCTGAAACTTGAAGCAGAAATAAAAAATATGAAGCCTTATTACAGGTTTTCGAAAACAGTCTTACAACAAATCTTTGGAACCATCAAAGATGCTAACAGTGGAAAATGGAGAGTGAGAAGCAACAACGTAACACATAGTCTGTTTAAATCACCATTGATCACTGGCATCATGAGAGCTAACAGACTAAAATGGTTGGGGCACATTGAAAGCATGTCAGATGACAGAGAAGTTAAAACTCTATACACCTGAGAGAGGAATGGCGTAGAACACGAGGCAGACAAAAAAGAAGTTCGAGAGATAATGTCCAGCCAGACCTGCAAACATCTGGTGTCACATATTGTGAAGATAAGGCCAGCCAGAGAGATGAATGGAGACGAGTGATTTCTGCAGCAGTAAACCTCAAGGGCTCAGAATGCTTAAGAAGAAGATGACTATTCTGTGCTACTTTATGTGAAGTAAAAGTTCAGCGTACATTTGACATTATGAATGTGTGTGTGTGTTTTTTAAAGATACATTTTATACACTAAACACTATTCGTATTCGTATTCAACTGAATAGTTGGTCCCTGCTATTCGTATTTGGCCGAATAGTGAAAATAAATATTCAGTACAGCCCTAGTATAAACTATGAGAATCCCCTCTTGAAGGCCCAGTCTTCTTGACACTGAAACTCCAAAAAGGCTAAATCTCCAAAGGGTTAACATTTAAACAGCAAGTCTGACAAAATCTCAGCCTACTGGACCAGGACGAACTTTGACATTTACAGATGATGTCCTATTGTATCAAAGCGGGTCAGACAGGCACGACATGACCAGAGACTAGTAAAGTGTTTTACATAAGATGACAGAGTGGTGTGAACAGACAGGGTCAAGGGTAAACCCAGAGAAGGCCAGTGTTTTGTGGTGCATTCATTTCTCGGCTATTATCTACTCTCGCCAGTGGCGGAAGTCCCCAGAAGTCCGCAATTCACATGTAACTGAGGCCATGTTGGGGTATATTTTCGGTCTTGATAATTTGGGACCGTTATTCGGAGTATAGTCCATTTCTCTTTAATTTGATGTATTACATGGTACTATACAGCCAGTTGTTTTTCAACAGGACAGTTTTAGCTTTGTCATGTTGCTTTAACAAAATTCCGCTCAAAATTGATGCTGTCTAAACCCCAGAAAAAATGTTGTCCTGAAAGAGTTAAATGTGTGGCCCTGGAACCCACAAAGCAAGTCACGAGTAATGTGAACAATGGATCAAAATCTTTTCCTCACCAGGGTGCTTCAATGGATAGAAAATTAGGCTCTCCTGTCAACTTAGGCAGTTAGCTGGAAAGCCGCCGATCGCTTAGTGGGAGTTCTCTCCCTTGGCTGCATTGCGAACACGGAGCAGAAAAGTCACGAATCAAAAAAGGCAGTGAGGTCGACAACAGGGCTGCCAATGCTTGGGTGTTTCCCCCAGATCTGGCTGTTTATTTCACGCTTCGGGGAAAATCTGGGGCTTTTTTAAAGTAAATATATCCTTATATAACAGTGGTATTAGTTGCCACGGATGTGACTCCTGCAGATCTGTATGACTTAATGACCGCCGATAAATTTGCGTGGTTAGGGGTAGGGTTAGGGGTAGCTGTAGGGTTAGGGTTAGATGTGACAATTTTGACGCAGGAGTTCCAAATAATCGTGCACAGTCACATACACACCCAAACAATCGAAGGACTGTGGATGCTACTAAAACGGACAATTCGCAACCGATATGGCACCAGCCGCGCGCTATTGCCGTCATATTTGAGAGAATCCCAGTGGCGCCACTCCCACAAGCATCAGATTGTCGGCCAGTATTTGGAACTCCTACGTCAAAATTGTCACATCTAACCCTACCCCTAACCGTAACCCAACCCCTAACGCCACTAACCCTATCCCTAACCCTAACCCTATGATTACGCAACCGTATGATGATAGGTAACCGTAACCGTATGATGACTACGCAACCGTACACGCAACCGTATGATGATAGGTAAGTATGTCATTTGATTCGTGACTTTTTCCGCTTCGTGTTCGCAATCCAGCCAAGGGAGAGAACTCCCACTAAGCGATCGGCGTCAGTCCAGCTAACGGCCTAAGTTGACAGGAGAGCCGAAAACTATTTCTCCCCACGGCGCTCAGCTTAACGTCTTAACACTGCTATCCATCGAGCAATAACGGCTGAAGTGGAAAGTGTTGATGGCCTAAACTAAAATAAATACTAAATCATGTTTTAAAACTTTTTCTAACCTCCTGAGGCTCTCATTTGGGATGTTTTTCGCAGTGAACAATTTGGGACCGGTATTCGGAAGAGTGCCTATTTTTCTATGTGAAATCCAAATATCAAATGTGCATTACTTAAAATAATTTAGAAAATTTGAAGTACAATTTCAATTGGAATTAGTATACAGTATACTATTAATTACATGATTTATGATTTCAAACCACCCACCACTCTTTGCCACTGCTGTTGTCAGCTGATGAACCTCCAAATTATCTTTAACACGTATGTAATCCTGCTTTTCACTATTTATAATTATCTTTGTCTTTATTACCTTATCAATAAAATTCCTAATTCGATTTCGCAAGTTTGACAAATCAAACATTAAGTTTTCACTTTGGTCCTCATTCTTCGCAGTTCCCTCCGGGGCAGCCATTTCAGAAATGAGAAAACCATCAGCCAATCAGATTGTTGTGTTTATTCTCGAAAATAGGTATACTGTTTAAAGATTCACGACGTTTATGTTTTCTCAGTAATTACTTATCTTGACCTTAATGCTTCCAAATATGTATGATGTAAATATATTAAAATATGTCATAAATAAATGCGTCTGTCTGTGCGTGGGTGTATGTATAGTGTGTGTGAGTGGTGTGTGTGTGTTAATGTGTATATGTGTGTGTGTATATATATATATTGTGTGTGTTATAATAATCCTGTATTCTGTTGGGTCTTATTGTTCTAAACAAACTGATAGCTGGTTATTAAAATATATGTCCAGAAACAAAAAAGTTATAGTTGAAACATATTTTCTGAAAATACTGAAACGGTATTTACCTCTATGTAATTTAGCTTACAAAATTAACATCTCGGCTTAGAATTTTAGAGGCTTGAATGAGGTACCGTTACATTTCTTTTTCCGTGTGAAATGCAACTATGATAGCTGCCTATCCTTTACAGGACATCGAGGAAACCAACCCCGATTTGGTTTGCCATTTCTTTCTGTTCAGTCGGTTTCTCGATACCACTGTCGAAACCAACACAAAGCGAATGACCTGCAGTTGGAATCGAACCCTGGACCCCGGCATTGCGAAGCTCGTTCGCAACGCCTAAGCCTCAAAACTATGATAGTTGCGTTATCCCCAGATCGAGATTTCTGCCTAACGCCCGGGCTGTACATGTGGGGAAAGGTTTAAAGGGAAACATGGCTTGAAAACGCTACTGGTGAGCGGTTGATTCGCAGCGCAGACACAGAGCGAGAGGGTGCTTTGCCTCGTGAAGTGCCTTATTATCGAGTGGGTTCATTGCCTCGATTTTAGTTCAGCGTGCGCTTGGGAGGAGAATCACAGGTTACCTCAGGTACTAGTATTGATCGCTGCTTGTTCGGCTTGATCTGCTAGACCTGAAAACTGTAGTGTTTTCAAATCTCGAGTCGACACGCTGACTAAAAGTCAGTCAGTCAGTCAGTCGTTTCAGCCCGAATTATAGTGAGAGGTAGTAGCCTCACTTAAAACTACCCGCTACCAGAGCCGAAGTGAGAGGTAGTAGCCTCACTCTAATCTACCAGCTACTGATACGTTGCCTCAGATTTAGCTCAGCGGTCGCTTGAGAGGAGGGTCACAGGTTTCCTCAGACACTGGTGTTGATCGCTGCTTTGCTCGGCTTGATCTGCCAGGTCTGAAAGCTGTAGTGGTCCCAAATCTTGAGTCGATACGCTGACTAAAAGTCCGTTGTCCCAGCACTAAGCCTTGTGTACTGCTCTGAACACCCTGGGAGGTCTACTTTTAAAGTGGTCCTCCTAACCAGGCTTGTTACTTAGCAGAGGACAAGCTTTTTGCGAAAGCTCAGTCCGTTCAAAAGACGACGCAGCCACCAAGAAGTCAGCAGAGCCCGGATCAAGATTTGTGAGTATAGTCTACTACTAAAAACACTTCAAATCCTTGACTAGGGCTTAGCCAACATAAACCCTAATCCGGACAATATGGCAATGACGAGAGCTCGCTCTCAAGAGCCGAAATCAGGCGACACCAACCCGTCAAAAGGACCAGATGCCGGCATCCAAACACGCGTCTATCAAAACAGCGACCGTGCGCAATCAAAAGCCGTATCGAGAAAGAAGGTAGCCACAACCGACAGCACAATACCCACTAAAACCAGTGCGCGTGGAAAGGAAGCATTGAAGCCGACTCCCACAAACACAATCTTACCAGAAATGCCAACCAGCCGTACCCCACCGGGAGAAGCTACAAATCAGCCTATAATAGCAGAAGCGCTCCCCCTGCAAGTACTTCCAAGCATTCCGGAAGAAAATACAAGCAGAGGAAAGCCACTCCTAACAATAAAAGTCAGAGTGACGCAACTTCAATTCAGCGCGGTATCCCTTCTCGCAAAAGGTATGAGGAAAACCCACCAAATCGACATTCTGGAATCAGGGTTAGGGAACAAGTCAGTGGCATCGTTCTACCCCTGCAAACACCACGGGATGTTGACACTTAACGAAACCGCCAAAAATAGCTAACTTTTTAACAAAATCAAAAATTCGACAGAACCGGTGAAAGTCGACCTAAAAAACGACATCGCCATCACTGTGGAACCGGTTAAAGCCACCACCAAGATTGTAGTCAAGGGCATCGATCCTAAGCAAGATATCAAAACAGTGGCCGAGGACCTTAAAGAAGGAAACCCTGACGTCATTTTCATCAACATCAACAGATTATTGAAATCGTCAGGGGAAGCTACCTCCTTGCTTACGATGACAATAGGGGGGAAAAAGCCTCCCCGCCCACATCAACTATCGACACAAAAAACGACACTGCGAAGCGTTTATACCGCCTCTCATCCAATGTCTGAATTGTTTAGGATTCGGCCATAATCAAGGACAGTGCCGGAGAAAAACTGTCTGCAAATTCTGCAGTAGAAATCACCACCACAGACAATGTCCTAAAGCCTTGACCGCCGGTAACTATAAATCCGAGAATCCGGATAGGAGATGCGTCAACTGTGGCGGAAACCACAGTGCCAGATACAAAGGCTGCCCTACAATGAAGAATGAGCAACTGGCACTGCGTGAGTCGATACTGACAAATGTCCCGCTAAAAGTAGCCAAACTGAACATCATCAAATCTAGAAACCTACCAGAAACCCAGTCAGACCTTAGAATCCTGAGAGCCGGTATGACAGGACTTGCTGCTTCCATAACTGACCCAAAAGTAGTAAATCGCGCAACCGCTACAGGACAGCCTGCCAACAACAACACCGAAGATCACCAAAAGATCCAGGCAGACTTTAGAAGAGAGCTAAACACCTTGAAAAAACAGCTTGCTACCGAAAGAGAGGCGAGGCTAACAGCTGAGAAAATAGTGGCGGAGAAAACGACCCAGCTAAAAGAACTAGTCGAGAAAACGGTAACAAACTACAAATACCACGTCGAAAAACTAGAATGCCTGTACATGGCCCACCAAAAGACGAGAACTGAAGTAGACTCACTCAAATCCCGAAAACCGTCTCCCGCTTACCTTAAACAAGTGGGAAAGATAGAGATGGAAAAGTACGTCGAAAAATACGTCGAAAAAGCCAACCTAGGCACAACCGAATCGATTAAAAAGGCAGTCGAAAACTACTGCAATGTTGTCCTGCTGGAACAACTAACAGAAAAAGTCAAACAACAAGCCTGCGCCAAAACCCTGTCGGAAGAAGAAAGCTCGGATTCTAGTACAATAGAAAGCGACTCCTCCCTGAACGACAGCCAACCAGGCTCCAGCACTGAACAGTAACGACACAGTAGCCAGACCCGAAACCGCACCCCCTAGAGTAACCAGACAATGACAGAAAACGTCACACGAAACAACTCTCCGGAGGCCAGCGCCAACACAGCGCTCAACAACAACACGGTCAACATATCGATAATACAATGGAACTGCAACGGCATAAGGAAAAACTTTCCCGACATACTCAAACAAACTGTTGGGGTCACAACCATATATGCATTGCAGGAAACCAGGTTGAAACCAACAGATAAATTCAAGTGCCCCGGCTTCACAGTTCACAGAAATGACAGAATCACGGGAAAGGGGGGAGGAGGGGTAGCGATCCTGACCAGCGATCAACTCATTGTTCTGGAACACGTCAGTTTCAACACCGTGAACTGCGAAGGACAAATGGTCAGGATAGCCGGACTTCAACCTAACCAAAACCTGACAGTTGTTAATGTGTACTGCCCGACCGGTCGACTGGAAAAGCCAGATTTTGAATCAATAAAAGATAAGTTCAGCGAGCAAACACTGTTAGTCGGCGATCTCAACGTGCACCATCAAACTTGGAGCACGATAGAAGCCGACCGGGGCGGTCTCAACCTCATGGACTTCGTTGAGGAAAACGCGCTAACAATACTAAACGATGGATCCATCACAAGGATAAGCCCATCCCTTAGCAAGCGAGACACAGCAGTCGACCTGTCAATAGCCACAGCTGGGCTCTCGGGCTGCCATTGGTCAGTACTAAATGACACTAGCTCCGACCACCTTCCAATCCGGATAAGCACGAGGGCCCAAGCACAAGTGGACGAAGTAAGCAGACGGCCTTCGTTCAATTTCAACAAAGCAGACTGGGCGGCGTTTCAAGCAGATCTCAACTCCGTAACGTTCGACGAAACAGGCGAGGAAGATCTGGAACGCCGCACAGCTAAAATCACAAACACTATTCTGGAGGTGGCATGCAAACATATGCCACACAAAAATATGCCTAATCACATCACCAACAAGAGACAAAACAAACCTCCTCCACGCAAAGGCGGCAACATCAGAGCAGTAGGCTGGTGGGATGCGAAATGTGAGTCCGCTATTGGAGAGAGACAAGCCGCTCTACAAAAGTACCGCAGGTGTCGCTCCAACAAAAACTTACAAGAATTCAAAGACAAGCGAAATGCCGTAAACAGAGCCGTTAAAAAGGCAAAAGAAAACAGCTGGAAGACCTTCTGTCAGTCGCTCAATCCGAACACCCCCTCCAGCAAAGTCTGGGCGCAAATAAAATCCATCAAAGGGGATCGGAAGAGTAACAAAATTCCCACGATCAAGAACCCATCACTCGCCGTCACAGACAAAGAGAAGGCAGACACCTTTGGGCACCTATTCTACAGCGTCAGTTCCCACGAAAACCTCAGCGAAGGCGAAACGGCACGACGAAAAAAGTACATCGAGGAAGAAGCAGCAAAAAGGAAAGAGCCCACGACTAAGTATGACTACCTGAACGCAGACATTACGGTGGACTAAGTCGTCACCGCCATAAGGGAGAAATCCAACTCTGCAGCAGGAGTCGACATCCTAAGCTATCCCCTTCTAAAAATGCTTCCCAGAAAAACCATTGTCTCAATCACCGAGCTCTTCAACGACATCTGGAGCACTGGGTACATTCCAAAGCAGTGGAAGCAGGCTCTGGTAGTAC